TCATGATCTAGCTAAAAAAAATAATTACACGCGGGTAATAGTATATTGTTTTACGAGCACGGAATGATAATGATTTCCTACGAGAATGAAGTTTGCAGCATGAGCTGTAGAAAATTAGCATTTCGTGCAAGTTATACACTATAATTTTTCTACGGCTATAATATATAACAGCGGCATTCTCGATTTCTTCGTCTTGTAGCCATCTGATTTCCTGTCAAGTAATGCTCATCTATTAGGCAGAGCCTGGCATTGCTGAAAATTTGACATTCCATGGGCGATGAGTTTGTTTTTTAAATAACACAATGGAGTCATTGTGATATCACATACGGAAATGAAATTGATGACATACAAAGTACCTCATTGATGTATCGAACAGAGTAAAACAAGAGCGATCTTGTGTTATAGCCGTAGAAAAAGAATAATCTACTAGTTTTTTTATTTTCTGTTATATTCAACCTTTAAAATGTAGATTTGTGGCAACGTTATTTTTGGTTAAAACAAAGTTATGATATTTTCGAAATGGGCATTGTTCTTTATTTTCATTATTGTGATTTTAAATGAAGTATGATATACAAATATTAATGTTTTTACACATACAGGGTATTGATAATAATAATTTGCCCCAAGTACGGACTTTGTCAATTAGGTTGGGATCCAAAAATTAGGAGAATAAGAAATAGTTGATGGTTTTATGGATTATAGATAAAAAAGTGCCATTTGGGCCCAGCAAATCATTTTTTTATTTTGTGCCACCTCATTATTTACACCTCTAAATTTGACTCGTTAATTAATAGGTAAAAAAGTTGTATGCGATAACACCAAATACATTCAGTCTTACTTATTTGCTCTTGCTCTTTCCAAATTTGTGGATGAAATTTTAAAATATTGATACATAGGGTGTTGTTTCGACTCGAAACCTACTCATAAATTAATATAATAAATATCGAAAAAAATATAGGGTGGTTTATAAGTTATGATTAATTGAAAAAATGGAGGAAATCAATAAATCACCCTGTATCTTGATTATAAAGAATGATAGACCCATGAAATAAGATTATTCAAAAGCACCTCGGTGTCCGCCATCTATACTCTTACATTTCCCAATGAATCTGTTCTGTTCTGTTGAGATGTTCAAATTTGTAATTCGAAGAAAAAATTCGAACCACAAATGATCTGTCAGCAAGGATTTCTTGAAACAGCTACAGTAAAGTACCCTTCTGAGGGGGTGAATTGAAATCATTTAACCTTTGGTAACGATATGTATGCATTGAAATAACTTTTTCTTAAAAAATAATTTCTCAAATATGGCATTCCTATTTTTAGAGGTGTTGGATGTGGACGGAAACCACTTTCTATTAAAAAACTGAACATTTTAGAGTTCCACTTTTCCAATTCTAATTTAAGTAGATTAAATTGCAACGGTGCGTTCTAGTTTACAAACGGTGGTTCCGCTGACTCACCCCTCGCTCGTGGGGTGGAGAAATATTGATTTTTCTAGTCGCGTGTCGTTGGAAGGGGGTGGGTTTTGGTGTATCTCGCGTAAAATAGATTCATCGCAACTGCTATCGTTGACGGTCTACTATATTCTACTAATATTAATACCTATTCAACGATTGTTTTATTGGTGGCGGGTGCAATTATCTTGAGCAGGGTTGGAAGTTTTCCGAATCGGCAGTTTGTATGTATTGCTATCGAAAAATACGTAATCGATTCGGTGTTGTTTTGAAATGGTTTGTTTCACGGATAAGGAGATCCTAAGGGAGAAGTGAGTTTTTACCTAGTTTGAACCATAGAAATCATATATATAATATGATTTCTATGGTTTGAACTTATAAACTTCTATTGAGGTTATTTTTGAATGCTCATTTGTATGCATCAAAAGTTGTGGCGTATGTATATTCGAAATATAATATCTGTGATAGTTTACGTTTTATCTATTGATTTATTTAAATTAATCAATTAAACATAGATATTAGACGATTTGGTCTCATGAAATGGAATGACCTAGTTCTTTGAAATTCAATTAATCGCCAAGGATTTTTCAAAGTAATTTTGATAATGAACTGGCGAATGGTTTTATGCCTATTTGCGTAGGCCGTTTTTTTTCAATTGAAAATCATCATATGTCGATTGTGGAAAATAAAAAAAAAATTACATGAAAAGAATTCTGTAAAGTATTTAATAATAATTAACATATGAGAAAGATTTATAAAAATAACTCCTGATTGTGGAATTAAATGTAGATCTTGTTCTTGAAGTGTATGTTGGTCAAACAAGTTAAACATTCAAACAATGTATGAACAAACATTTTTTGATAATTATTTTATTACTCCGAATATACAGGGTATCTGAATTCTCAATGGATGAATGAAGAAACAACGTAATCATCAGTTGTTAAATACCCAGTTATACATTAAAATATTATTCAAGAAAAGTCAGGGTTGTGTCATTAGTTTCATTTTGAAGGTACTATTAGAAAAAATATTATTTTTGCTATTTTTGAAAGTGACAAAACCAAATAGTCACTTTTGGTTGTCGTCAGTTGGCAGCATGGTGTGATGAATTGGATTGCTACCGAAATGAAAAATAAGTTAGTTCTCATTTTTGTGAAGTTTTCTTCAATTCCATATCATTTGAACTTCGGTGGGGACAATCATTTGAACAATTTCAAGATTATTTACACAGGGTGTCCCATTAGTGAACTGAAAACTGCAAAGATGAATAGAGCTCACCGGGTTGGTTCTGATTATGTCATAACTGTAGGGTCTTACAAGTTTTATATTCGAGATTTAGGCTGTTTAATCGATTTTGCTCCATTCTTATTCGGTCCTTATTCGAAAACTGGTCGTATTTCAGAGCCCCAAAATAACAACCTGTTTTTTCGGCCACCCTCATAATTTTTTTTATTTATGGAGCGATTTTTTTATGTAAAGGAGGAAAGGGTGTATTTTGGAGCTAAGCGGCGATCATCTTTTTTTTTAAACCAAGGCCTATACTATATCACATTCAGATGCTGAAATATCCAGAATTCATATTAGCGATTTTTTAGAAAAAATCCACGAACACCACTGGAATCGGCGTCCTCTGAAATTTATGTGTACCAAGTTTAATCAAAAAATATTCAACAATGACGAATCTACAACGTGTCTCATTTCAACCGCCCCCCCCCTCTATATCTCAGCGATTAGAACTGCGATCTTCACCAAATTGGGGCCGGTATGAATAGCCATCAATATGATCAGTTTTTCAGAGACGAACATACAGTAGATAGTATTGAAATAAACAGGGGTCGCTTTTTATGAAATCATATCAGGAATTTTTTTAATGAATATCATATTATTGTTCCTCATGCTTTCGAACCTCCATTTGCAAAAAATCGCCTCATTCCAAATTACCAGAATCAGAACTCCATTTTTTTCATTTTCAGCCTCGGAAAAATAGTGAATCCAAATTAACTGAACATTTTGGAACGTTCAATAGCTCTTCGGTAGGCAGAAAATTGGGTTTTAAAAGTAGAAACAAGAAATACTATAAGTTCGCAAAAATGCTGTTCAGGTGTGCCTGTTATTTTTAACCCTTCATAGTAATATGGAATTTTACATATATGTGTGTTTGAAACAATGACAAAAAATATTATGAGGTCAGTATTTCTGTAAAAAAATCCTAATATGATTTAATAAAAAATTTGCCCATTTTCATTTTAATAAAAACGCACGGCACTGTACAAGAGGATGTACAGGGTGGAATGAATTTGCTACTGGGGAAGTTGATGATTTTTCTAAAAATTCGCGAGGCACGTCAACGTTTGAATGTATTAACCTACATTTGGCAAGCAATATGGAGAGTATATCTCTTCATGGGTAGCTGGAATCAACCCTAGCATGTTTTTTTCAAATGCAACCCTATGGCTTGCGCCCCTCATTGGAAAGCTGGTTGAAAGAGGAATCAAGCGTACTGATCATATCTTCATCAAAATTTTGACTTTTAGTAACAGTGATATAGGGTTTTTCTACTGCGTTTCGAACTGTGAATACGGCAAAAAAACTAAATTTCTTTTTGCGGCTCTATAAAAACACTAGAATACAATAGCAAATAGCAGTTGTGGCAAAAAATTGCCATCAATTGTTCAACACACATTTTGAGCGATTGATACGTTGAAAAACCCTTTAAACGTATGAAGAACCGAAATTTGATTAGTACGCTGGAATCCTCTTGCCACCAACTTTTCAATGAGGGGTCACAAGCCATATGGTTCTATTTGAAAAAATCATGTTGAGGGTGATTTTAGCTACCCCTGGAGGTACATATTCTCGATATTGGTTGCAAAAGGTAAGTAAATACATTAAATCGTTGATGTCTGACGGGAATTTTAGGAAAAAAATATCCACCTACCCGCTAACGAATTTATTCCAGTTAAAGTCTCCACACTGCATGTCTCTGAAAAACTGGCCATACAGGTCCCAATTTGCTGAATAGTTTCTTATGAAATTTGGTATTCTACAGATTTTTTTGAGAAGACGCCGATTCCAGTGGTGTACGCGGATTTTTTCTGAAAAAGGCGCTAATAAGGATTCTAGATTTTTCAGCCTCAACATTTCAGAAAAGAATTCGTGAAAATCGCTCTATAAATAAAGAATTTATGGGGGAGGCCCGCTTTCGAATGGGCCACTCTGTATTTTAAAAGTGCACAGGAAGTGTACTTTTCATTTTTCCGCATGCTCTTTCACTAATAAATTGAACAGATTAACCGACATTATGACATATCCGGACATACCACTGTTTAAATAATTTGATTAACCCAATTATTAGAACAATAAGAACAAAAAATCAACCTTCTCAACTTGAAACATAAACTATAACAATCGCCCTCCATTTTTCGATCCATTCTTGCTCTTTTCCAAATATCACATCCTATATGTTTTCCATTATTCTACTTGTTTCTCAAACGTCACCTGAGAATTCATTTGCTTCAGAAAAAAAAACTATCTCTTTGCTTCTAGCGTGACGGAAACGCACCAGGTGGCGGAAGCCCAGCAGGAGAAGAACGCCCGGCTGCGCGAAGCCTTCGGCATCTCCGAGTACTTCGTCGACGGCAGCAGCTTCGACCCAGACCGCCAGGCCAAGGAGAAGGTGGCCGAGAGCAACGCGCTGCAAGAGAGAGAACGCCACCTGGCGTTGGAAAGAGAGAGGGAGAAGGAGCGAGAGAAGGCGGGGCGGTACGAGCTGGTGCGCACGCCCAGTGCGGAGAGAGAGGCGGAGGTGGTGGTGGTGGGGAAAGAAGAGGGCGGGGCCGACGTGAAAGGGAGGGGGAGCAAGAAGAAGCGAAGGCAGAAGGAGAGGTGGGTAGTCGCGGGCGGTCGTTGGGCTCGGTGGGGTGTTGGTTTTCGGTCGGGATAGTTGTGGCGCAGCCGTCTTTATTAGGAAGTCATGGTGACAACGCAAGTTTCGAGAGTCCTCTTTTCAACGTCTTTTTTTGCTTTGAAATCGAACTTATACATACCATTGTTGTTCTAAATAAGAACCTAGTTAGTAGGCGAGCAGTACAATATTGTCTGTTCATTGGAAAAAAAATCCGAACTGAGTTATTCATTTATTATCGTAACCCTAGAAGTTGTTTGGATTCCTATGGAGATCAAATTTTCTGTCAAATTAAAAATCAGAAATTTCTAATGTTTAAACATTTCAAGTATATTATCAAGATTAAATTTGTCCAAACCTAAGGGCGTTAAACCCGTTTGAAGGTAGGTCCTTAAATACAGTTTTCTTCAATTATCATCTTTGTTATCATCGATCCTAGAATCACGAAATTTGGTACCAGAGGGTAATTCGATCTTATAAATCGTTTCGTGGCACGGAAAATATCATCTAATATACAAGGAGGTGTGAAACTCGTAACCAATCCTTTAAAAATGCGCCGACTTTTCTGTTTCAAAGTTAATTTCATTTTTTCAACCAAAATATGTTTCTCCAAACACTTTTATATGAAAAATGTATTCTTGTTGAAATGCTGTTGAACGAACCGTTTTCGAGAAAAATCTAATTTTTCATTTTGATGTCCGAAAAAATTCACAATCATTTTGAGCGCGTGAGCTCCTTTGATGAAAAACTAAGAATTTGAGATTTATTGAGAAAATATCTCTTTAGCTCTAGGGCTCTAGCGCCCTTAAGGAGCATTTTTGGACACAAGTTGATAGAAACGTTTTTTCTCATTTTCATCTGCAATATCACCTTCCGAAGTATAAGACTGTTATTCTGGGACATCCTGTATACTTATACGAATCAGTAAAACAGGGTGCATGAAGAAGAAATTGTTGTCCATGTAATGATGAAATTCTCGATTCATTGATGTTATGTGCATTTCAGTTGGAAGAATTTCAACTGATATGAATATGTTCATTATGGTCGGAGGTGAGACGTTCAGGCACTGTTGCCAGCTGTTTTCACCAAGGTTTTGGTTGTTTGGTGGTATTGATAAGAAGGAAATGTATATTGAAGTGTTATTCTATTCTCCATATTCTTTTGTGTCGTCTACAACTTTTGAAGTAATTAGGAAAAGAATTATACAGGGACACCAAAAAGGAATATTTAGACAGTATATTATATAAAAATATATTATATATTTAGGAATTATAAAAGACTACTGGAAATCAGTTCAAAATGGTAGAGTTACAGGTTACAGCTTTCCGGGTTTTTTCAAAATGTATGAGCTGAAAAAACAATTATGTACAGTAAACAATAATAATTCATTGTACATTTGTTTATTTGAAATTTAGTTTTTCATATATTCTAATCCAGAGTTTATTTCTTTTATTTTTTTTTGGTTCAGTTCATTTATTTTGTTGCTTTTATTTTGATAATAATGAGTTATTCAGAATTACCAATTGGAGTTACAGAAATGCAAATTCTCAATTGGTTTTTTTTCACCCTTCAGGTATTATTATCACTCCTATTAAATAAAGTTTAGCAAATATTTTGTTCAGGAAGAGTTCTCAAATGGATTTCTTTCTTGTTATAGTTCATCTAGCGAAGAACCAAAAAAGAAAAAGAAGAAAAAGAGCAAAAAGAAAGACAGGTAAATCAACAAGAAATGTGAAGTCATCGATTTTTCTTATACCACACAAAATAATCTCACTTATTTCCAATTCAATTTCTCAGTCATTTTCGAACATTTCATATTTTGTGTGATATAACCAAATAGAAATATGTTATGCATTTATAAACATTATTTTGGTTGTTGTCGACCCGTTTCCGTTGCTTAAACATTTCCCAAATACTAATACAATGGTGGTATATTTTTTTGCCGTACGTGATAAAGAAGGCTTCTAACGAATCAGGTAATGGTATGGTATTGAAATTTTATTATCCATTCTCAAAACGACTCTTTACTTTGTTGCTCTTGCATATGTTTAGCCTTTCGGAGATACCGGAAAATTGGGAGTATGAAGGTGCGTCCAAGCAATATAGAATCTCTTCACTAAAAACCAGTTTTTGTGTTCACAGTAACGACAGTGTGTTTTTTTATTTGAGGATCGTTTGCCAATCAGGAACATACGATAACTCCATATTATATTAGTATATTTTTATTAAGTATTCTAATTGACTAGATATTGAAACAAAAAATTAGAAAACGGAATAGATGAAGTGGGATGAGTGTAACTTTTCATTAGATGAGATCTTATGGGCCTTTCCAGTATCGTAAAATTTGACCCTTTTTGCTATAATGTTAAGAAGGGAATACGATATTCTGACCACATATTCATTGAAAAAATCGAAAAATAAACGAATTATTCAATATTGAAAATGCTATTTCAATACCTGTGAATTTATTCAAACGCTACTGAGCTGTGACGTCAGTGTCTCCTTGCAATTGGATTGGTTGAAGTTTGTGACGTCTGGGAAGCTCACTGTTGTTTATAAGTCTCTGAGAAATTCTTGAATTGATCTTATATGCAAGATTGTGCAAGGAATGGCATGATTCGATACTAGTTTATAGTAATTGATTAATTGATTGGTAATTCACATTCAATTTACTCTGAACTCCGAAAAATTCCATTAGTTTCATGATTAGCTGGGCTAAAATGTGATGCAGGCATTTAACAGCAAGACGTTTTTTATATGGTTTAGTTTGAGTTATGATGTCATGATTTTGTTGACTTATTGTTGTTATCAACAAATTAAACATTGTTTCTATAACTGAAGTACTCATTCCCGGAAAGTTTTATAGCTAATGTGGCAACTATATTTACATAAGAAAGAGATGAAGCAACTGGCACTAACACAGTGTTGCCAAGTTAAAATACCGCATAACTTCACTGTTCTCTATTCTCAATATTATTGACAAGAAGGTAGTGATTATTGAACTAAAATCAGTAGAAAATAGCATCAAAATGAAGCAAGTAAGCAATTAGGTATTGATTAATTCAAAATTTATTCCTTTCCCTATGGTAGGTAGGTAATAAAAGGTATGTATACTGCCGTGTACATATTTTAGGGGAGTACATACCTAGTCTTGAAAGTACCAATTTTTCAGTACCACGACTTTTCAGGTTGGTAGGTAATGAGTTATCTAAAAGCATCTGTATTATTTGCTGAAATGAAAAAATCGAGAAATGAATATCCGACTAATCGTAGCATTCTGTCCAAATTGGTATCATCGTCAAGTCCATTGTGCATTTTATTGGCACCCGTGAGAAGGTGAGTGCATGACCAATCCAAATTGCACCCGTACGGACTTCACACGTTTCACAGCCATGTCTGATCGTTCTAATTCGCTCGTTAGTTTTGGCGTTTTCAATTATTTTTTTAAACGAGGAAATGAAAAAAAACTCAAAAAGTTTTTTCAAGGTATTCCAGAGCCATATATTTCGAGATATTTTTGTCTAGAAATGACTGGAAAGGCTCATTGAGTCTAACTAATGAACCTGAAATAACTAAATGATGTAATTTTACATGTCTATTTTGAAGGTTAACTGTCGTGATAAACTTGAAAAAGTCACACTTCCCTAGAAATATGTATTTATTTTCATATCACCCTGTATTGTACAGCATTTCTGATAGTTCAATTGAATTTCACCATAACGGAGTATTGTATGTTCCTGAATATCCGATATCTGTCTCGCAAAGCACTTCAAATCAACTCCATACTTTTGAACTGAGTACGTTTTCTGTAGATCTGGTAAATCTAAGGACAAAAAAAAGAAGAAAAAATCGAAGAAAGACGAATCTTCGGCAGCAGAATCTGCTTCTGAAGGCGAATCTGAAGATGGATCGAGCAGCGAAGAGGACAGAAAGAAGAAAAGCAGAAAGAAAGAGGTTAGTTTTTGAGGAATAGATATAAACATATCACTGTATTCTGAGACATGCTTAAATTCAGTTTTTTTTAGATTGCTTACCATTTTCTTTTCTGCGTTTAGATTGAAAAAACTGTTTTGTTATGTGTGAATTTAATTCACAGAACATTATGAAATATTTTGTTTGGTTGATTTTGATTCTGTTTTGGCTCAAGCTGCCATTTTTCGTTTGTTAAAGTAAAAAATTGTTCTTTTTGAAACTGCTCAACATTTTCATAGGATAGTCCTTGAAGGGCTAGGTGACACCACTTGTAAGTACCGTTTCCACTGGGGTATAAGCATTAGCATGCAACAACTTTGTTAATAAAAAATTCCTGGCACTACTTCATTTTCAATTTAGTGAATGCCAGAATCCCAATGATTCTATTTAAAAGCAAAGATACAATTTTGAAATACAGAGTAAATATTTTAGATTTTTGAAAAGCACTTGAGTGTCAAATAAAAATTATAGAGTTTGAAAATACCACTGAATTTCGCATTTTTTCTCTACAGAAAAAGAAAGCTGGAAAAAGAAGGAAGCCTACATCAGATAGTTCAAGGGAAAGGTAATCAATTTCAATTCCATTTTAAATATCAACTCTAAACAGATATCATTTTTTTGCAGTTCTCCTGAAGATCTCAAACGAGCCAAGTTGGACAAGAAGAAAAAAGATTCAAAAAGAGACAAAACAAAATCTCCTAAAGAACATGAAAAACCAGATAGACACAGTTCTAAACGAGATAAATCAGATTCTCCGAAACGTCACAGAAAATACGGTAGATCTCCAAGAAGGCATTCAAGTCCAGAAGATCTGGAAGAAAATCACATTTCCAAAAAATACAACGACGAAAGGAAGCGAAAATCTAGGTCTACCGAAAAACGAAGGAGGTCAATGTCTAGATCTAAAGACAAAAGAAACAAATCCAGATCTAGATCTAATGACAGAAGAAAACACTCCAGATCTAAATCCAATGAGAAAAGAAACAAGTCCAGAACTAGATCTAATGATAGAAGAAAAAAATCCAGATCTTTATCAGTGGAAAAACGCAGGAAATCCATGTCCAAGTCTCCAGAAAGAAAAAAGAAGTCAAGATCGGTGGAGAGAAGAAAGAAATCCAGATCTGTTTCACCAGAGGGAAGAAGAAGATCCAAAAGATCAAGATCTCGATCTGAAAACCACAATGAAAGATCAAGACGAAGCAGATCTAGATCAGAGAGAAGAAGAAAGAGATCTAGATCTGATTCCGTGGACTACAAACAGAAACAGTACAAGAAAGGATCCCTTGATAGGTACAGATCAAAGTCAAAAGAAAGAAGAAGCCGAAGGAAATCGAGGTCTCCCTCAAAAGAACACATTCGAAAACGTTCTAGCAGAAGATCTAGGTCTGTTTCAGAAGAAAAAAAATCCAAGAAGACTGGCAGAAGAAGCAAACACACTAGTCCTTCACCAAAAAGAAGAAGCCCATCTTTGAGTAGAAGGAGCAGGAGCCCTACACCCAGAAGGAACAGATCTAAAGATAGATCTAGGGAACTGGAGAAAGAAAAAGCATTGAAGAACTCCATAATAGCTCTTCTGAATCCCGATAGAGCAGCTGAGCTAGCTGCACCTGTGGATTCTTATAAGAAGCGCCGTAGCGACAGTCCCAGAGATGACAGAAAGTCCAGAAGAGATGATAAGATTAGGCTGTCAAAGTCCAGGAGTAGGAGTAGGGATAGGAGTTCAGAAAGAAAGAAAAAACCCGAGAAAATTCCAACCCTCCAGTTAGCTTCGAAGAAAAGGTCCTACACCCCAGAAACAGTGTCAAAACCCTCAAAGAGCCCTCAAACTTCAAGGTAATACATAATAATAATAATTTTTCTGCCTAGTATGTTAATTTCGATGGTAACTATTTGAATTGATTTAGTATTATGAGGAGATTGAAGCATTTAGATCTCCAGTTGAGACATTCATCCATAGAGACATCTAAAAATATTAGTTTCCTTTTGTTCTGCATTTGCATCATCAACTACCAGATTGATAGACCCTAGATAGATAGAATTTTTGTTGAAATAAAAAAAAATGGCTGCTCGAAGATGGCGGACAAGGTTTGGTCCGATTCCATTCAAAATTGGTGAGTGGGGGTTTTTGAGGTCGGAGATCATGATTTTTTTGTTAAAATTCATAAATTCAAGATGGCGGCTTCCGAATAATTTTTTGTTTTTGTATAAATGACGATAACTCCATTGTTATCAACACAAAACTATTACTGCGCCATATCATCTGTAAGAGAAAAAAAAGTTATTTGTAACTAAGTCATAGTGAGCTATGACCTACATTTGAAAAACTAAAGTTGGTGCTGATATCTCAAATTCTAGAAGAGTTGGTATAAATTTCATATTTTTTCGAAATCACTTTGAAAAACTGCCATGAGAATGTGAAATTACTATTTGAATATTTTCATAAATAAAGAAGTTACGGAGGAGACATGAAAATGATCAAAATCTGTTTTTTGCGTATAAAACAAAAACGAATAGATTTTATCAAAATATTTGTTCACATTATAGTTGGCCTTGACAAACTCCACATTTGGTGTCATTTAACCGACCTCGTATCTCTCACCGTTGAAAAGATACCCATGGTGAGCATGGTAAGTGGGACACACTGTATAAACAACCGTTTTAATTAGTAGTTATAGAATTTTGCTCCCTTATGAGAAGGACAATTTTCATACAGACGAGTTGTATGTTTCTGAAGCCTCATCAATTCACCGTGCCTGGTAGGATACGTATGAAAGTCACAGTTTCGATCATAATTCTGCATTTGTTTCCTGAATAATAAAATACATTTGTAAATATAAATGCAAGGTACACACAAGATTTTATTCTCAATAAAGTGTTGCCTACAAGATTCTCTGTAGTCTATCCAATATATTAGCCGTATGACCCTTTTCTGTGAGACAAATATTTTGCTGAGTTTTGACGAACATCCCCAAATGGCAATATTATAAGAAATATGGGAATATACAACAGCAAAGTAAACACTTAGAACTTGAGCCTTATTGTAAGTGGACCTCAATTGTCTAAGACCATAGTACCCACTGTTCACTTTCTTACTGACATGATTTATACCCGACTCCCATGTCATGTTACGATCGAAAAAAGTACTTACTTAGAAATTTGGTGTTGTCTGATGGTTTAATTATTGCATCACCCACTCTAACATGAAGATTATCAATTTTTCTATTAGTTCTGGAATGAAACTGCATCAGAACAGTTTTCTCTACATTCACCACTAAAGAGTTTTTATCACACCAATTCGTGAACTCGAAGCTCAAGGTATTCAATTTTCCTTGGGGCTCCTCTGGGTTATCTGCAATCGATGTAATCGTTGTATCATCTGCATACAAAACTACATAATCTGAGCTTATATGATCGGGCATGTCATTGATGAATAAAAGAAAAATGAGTGGACCTAATATAGAACCTTGAGGAACCTGCGACTGACAATTGTCGACTTTAACGTGTATCTTTCTGTGAGTCAGGTAAGATCTCAGCCATGAAAGGAAGATACCCCTGAAGCCAAGTGAATAGAGTTTCTTTGCATATAATCATAATCAAGGTCATTAGACAGTTCCTTTGCTAATAATGATAATAAAAATCGTTTATTTTCCAATGGACATGATATATATGTATAGGAATAGTCAAGAAACAAATATACCTGACAGAGGCACCAATCAATATAGAAAGTGCTAAAATATTGAAGAACATCTAAACAAGCAATTTGCAAAGATATACAATAAAGATTAAGATACAAATATTATAAGCACATACAGTGGTTGAGATGAACAAAAACACATAAGAATTCATTTATACATAGATATTCATAACACTACCCCTGCACATGTGGTGTTAATAATCCTCCGTCTATAGGATCATTTTTCAGTGATGAAGCTGTGACCCATATTTGAAATATTTCAAGCTCACAATATTTTTGACCTCACGCAGGAGATGTTCGAATACTCTCAGACCTAACTATGACAGAGAGTTGGAACTCACCTTGTATTTGACTAAAGAAACATGGAAGTCGTCATTACGCCTAGTTTTGATATTATGGATATCTTGATTTTGATGGAAATCATTCGTATTATGGAAGACATAGAGACACAACTCACATATAAATATGCCTACGACTGTTAGAAGTTAATATTTGGGAAACATTTTTCTACAAGAATGTTTTGGGGACCTTTGCTATAATTCTGAGGACCTTTTTTCGTGCAATCGTATCCTATGACAATGTGTATCCACCCAAAAGAAGAATACCATAACGTACTGTCAAAGCAACTTGAGCATTAATTGTCTTTCAAGCAATACTGCAAGCAGATATCAAATCAATGTAGCAAAATGAGTTTAGCTTTGAAATAATGCTATTGCATTGACATTGCCAACTCACAGTACTCACACTATAATCAATTGTTAAACCTGAGAAAGCTGCTTTATCTATTTCAGTCAATACTTTCCTCAGAAATTTTTGTTTGTGCAATTTATAACCTCATTATGTGTGTTTTCTCTGTGTTGAATAAAAGTGAGTTTTCAATGCACCATGAGTAGATGGGGGGGACCCGTTAATCTATGGAAGATATCATTCAATATCTCTTCACGATGTCCTTTAAGAGAATCTTAGTCTTTATTTGATATCATTACCATAGATTAAATCAATGTCATTACAGATGTATCATCGGCGTATATGAAGAACTGGACGTTAGTAGCTAGAGTGTCCAGCTCATTTATTTAAAAAAGATACAATATAGGGACCTGGGGAACGCCCAGACTGACAGAAAGCCGGCTCAAATAGGCTAATTCTGGAATCAGTATTATTATTATTGGTATTGATACAATATTATTGTTGGCGAGAGCATACAATAGTTATTTGTTTTACTAGGCAGCAAAGTACATTTGATGCCGTGTGAAACATATAATTTTTTTCTGCAACTGACACAAAAGTCGTCCATTTTGATACCAAAATCAGCTCTTAAATTGACGTTTCTATTACTGACACAAAAATAGGTATGTTGCTAGGCAACATATTTAGTTCCTAGGAGCTAAAGTTGAATTTTAGCTCCTAGGAACTAAAAAAGATGTACTGGACGTCATCAAGAATGAACAACATCGTGACGGTTGGTTATTTGGGCTGAGACGCATACCTGATTTGTTTCGGATTTCAGCAGATTTGGCATTTCATACCCATGCTGGAGATATAAGTACACCTTATTATAGTTTAGTATTGGAATTATAAACATCTCAGTTAAGTATTTCTGTTTTGATCAGGGAAGCCTTTTCAAGATTCAAATACTTGCTTGATCTGTATTTCATTCGTTATTCTCGAAATGGATAACTTGGTTTTGAATAATCACGGCAAGCAATAGTTTGTTTAGCTTCATTTGATTATCAAGTCAAACACAGTGTAGTATGGAGAGGAATAAATAATCACTATTATCATTGTTGATATACTCACATTTTCCACGTCTTGTTCCTATAGCTGGCACTGGCGGGGTATTTGCCATAAGGGCACCTGGTCCATACACAAATATGTCACTCTGTGGTTGTATTTATATTGAAACTACAATTCGAACATTCTAGAAAACCTAACCTGCTGTTAATGCAGGTAGAATATTCTAACCACATGAATAATTTGTCAATTTTTGTTGCATATGGCAGGGCATTGGTATTGTTACTTCACATGTTTATTTGAGTTAATTGTTTCGGTTGCAGAAAAAATAGCATGTTTCATTCGGATCAAAAGTGACTTTGTTCGACTCGCAGATTTTGCTTTCGCTCGGCTTCGCTAAACGCTCCGCCTCGCAAATGCAAAATTCGCTTGTCAAACAAAGTGTCACTTCTGATCCTAATAAAACAATCTACTATTTCTCCAAATGTTATAAAACAAATCTTGTGTAATTTTTTAATAGAAATCCCCATCATTTTGTGTTTACCCAACACCCAATGTCAGTGTCAATTTTGATTACCAATATCATTCAAATTACTTGAAACTTTGCATAGGCAGAGAAAGTACACCTTTCCCACCTGTTAAGTGTCAGAGAAAATTCACTTTCTATGCCGTTTAGAGAAGTAACAATTTCACCCAATTCATAGCATCCCCACGCACACCATATGAGTATAATTTCGAGAAAAAACATTATGTTGAACACAGCCAAATGTCCTGCTGAAATCACAAAAGATTCCAACAGGACACTACTGCTTCTAAAAACTGAATCTGACTTGTATTTTCTTTGTTGGTCCAATGTTTTCAATTACCCAATTGATATTAAGGCACAGCACGCCCGAACCGAAGGACAAGAAGAAAAAGTCCAAATCCAAGAAACCCCAGCCTGTGGTGCGGCTGAGGGCTTCCTCCAGCGAACCAGAACCTTCGGGCAGCGAGCACGACAAGGACGAAGAGATCGACGACAAAGAAATGAGGATGCTGCGCATGCTCAAGAGCGATCTGGCCGCCAAGGCGAAAGAAAGCCTCGAGAGGAAGAAGCATCCGAGCCCGAAGCGGCCCATAGAGCCGGACTTCTTCGACATCATCGAGATGAGGCGGGATGAGGCTAACATGAAGAAGGATGAGTTTGACATCAGGAGGGAGAGGAGCGTTAGCAGGACGTACTTTGTGCCCGAGAGTGTCGAGAGGAATATGAGCAGATCGTGGTCACCTACGGATTTCCCGAAGATCAGGAATGGCCAGTCGAGGTCCAGTTCTTCTTCTTCGAGTGGCAGGTGAGATTAAAAATACAATACCACGTTTTAACGTTTTCATTGTCTGTCTGTCTGGCTGGCTGTAGCTCCGGTGACATTGCAGTTTAACATAAATAACGATTGACGACATAATTCCATCTAAAAATTAACTGGAATGTTTTATTTTTGGACATAAATAATAGTACCTTCTGAAAACGGACCCTTCATTATGACGTAGAAACCTCATCTCACCTGGAACCAATGAGCGTGACCCATAGAGTGACCCATGTGTGACACTTATCACTGTTGCCATATCATCTAAACAAAATATCCGAGAGATCGAAATCGATATTGAAATATCTTTTGATATCAACTACCACTACTGCAGAAAAATATATTCAACTTGTCGATGGTAGGTTGAATCATTAGAATATAAACAATCTCTAAACAACGCAATGTCTCAATCTCAAAAGTCAAAACCATTTGCACCATGACAATTTCACAATAATCCAATATATTTCATGAACGCAGCAACATTGCTTTGTTGACCCGTTTCACATGGAGCTGCATTTGCATCGAGTCTCGAATTCCGATTCCGAAGTTAATTATGTCGTCTAAAATGAGAAGAGAAGACACGTAATGGAATTAACCTCCAAATCTTGCTTTATATTATATTAGTACATATTATTGATATATTGAATATAAACATGAACGTTGAATCAGGATTTGTAAAACGCTCATCAAATAATCTACCGAAAATTGATTTGGAAATGGTTAATTATTTTTATGTCTCTAACATACTAGAAAATCTCTACAGTTCCTCAGTGCTGAAATGAGGAATAGAAAATCTGAAAGGTGAGTTCCACAATATTCGTTCAAGTTTCATTGCTTGTACCTATTATAGTTGCATTGGAAAATTGTTCACCTGAAAAGATATTTAACATCAGAATACCAATCATATGGAGATGCCGAGGGAGAATCCTCATTAAATCAGTCACTGATCGATATGTTTACCTATGCAACAATATGATCAATTGGTATGAGACAATGTTATTCCCAAGATTAGATACTGCTTGCATCTCCCTGAATGTTCTTATAGGAGATGGATCATTCATTCTTCAAGCAATTTCCCTATGAATTTCTGCAAGGCAAAACTACTACTATAATATTGTGTTTACCCAGTGAGGGGCGAGATTTGTTCTCAAAATTCCCAGCTAAATGATATTTTTTTAATTGCAATTAGGCACAGAACATTTCTCAATCATACTTTTGTCGAAATATTTCAATTTAATATTCGAAAGTTGCAGAAACTTAATATAGGTTAGAATTGATCTTCTTCTTGTTCTTATCATCTATGTCCCAAAAATCAACTTGCCGATTCACCAATCTTGGTGCTTTGTGTTTGTGACAAATCATGTATCATTCATCTCTGTCTGGAATAGTCTTGTTTCAGTATTAGGGTTTTGACGTCACATCATCGCCTCGTTTTCAGAGGTCCGAAAAATCGGGGATTTCAATAATTTTTTATAAAACGTAGGGAGCTCACAGCAAGAAACGGTTTGCGGTGGTGAGCTAGTTTGGGTGAGTTCTATCGAATTATGAAATAAAAATTTTTTGTGATATAAGCCCATTGTTCCTCCCTTGGCAGTTCCCGCGAGATTAACCCGTCGAGTTGAGGCTTCGCACCCCTTCATGGTCACTTTGGAGACCTGCAGAACATCTCTTTCCAAAGACTCGTTCATCCAACGAACAGCGAGACTCTGGAACACATTGCCAAGGGAAGTGTTCCCCGAAGCATATAACCTCCAGAAATTTAAGAACACCGATTCCTACCTTATTTCCCTTGGTTCTCACGATGTTCTCTGAACATAACAGGATATCCCTTTTCGTGGGAACCAGAACATAAAAAAAAGTAATAAAGTAATAATAATTTATGAAACAACTAGCTGTATGCGCGCGTTGCTAAGTTAGTTACTAAAATAAATTTGAAGAAAAGACAGACTTGCCGGCTATAATCAATTGTTTTGCAATGTACATTATTTCTAGAAAATACTTTCTCAGTTGAATATTCAACAGCACACTTCCATCATTTCATTTTCTACTTCTGTTTAGTTGGACTAACCATGAAAGCGTGTTTTCTTAGTTTTTAAAACTGCTATTTATTTTCTACTTCTTTTCAGTTCGGTAATCTATCTCTTTAGTTTTCTAAACTACTATTCAGTCTCTACTTCTCTTCAGTTTGGCGTTCTATATGAAACCGTGTTTTATTAGCTTTTCAAAACCCTCAAATACCAATGTTAAATAGAATCGGATCATAATTGATAAACTCGAATGCCGTATTCAATCTGTCATATTGAATTCCCAAAATTTGACGAAAGAATCATAATCTCCGAACCCAAAAAACTCTCAGACACCAATTTTGAACATTAACGGATCCGCCATCTTGAATTTCCAAATTTTCACGAAAGGATCATGATCTCCTACTCCAGAAACCCCCAGATACCAATTTTACATGGAATCGGATTATAATAAAAACGTTATATTCGATCCGCCATTTTGAATTTTCAAATTTTGACGAAAGGATCATGATCTCCTACTCCAGAAACCCCCAGATACCAATTTTACATGGAATCGGATTATAATAAAAACGTTACATTCGATCCTCCATTTTGAATTTTCAAATTTTGACGAGAGAGACTCTCGAAAACCCCCAGATACCAATTTTGAATAGGATCGGATCATAATTACAAAACTCATCCTATATGTTGAATTTCGTAATTTTGACGATGGATTCATGATCTCCAACTCCAAAACCACCAGATACCAATTTTGAATAAAATCGGATTATAATTAAAAACTCGTCTGTCATATTGGATCCGTCATTTTGAATTACCTAATTTTGACGACGGAATCATAATCTTCGACCCCGAAAACCCCCAGATACCAATTTTGAATAAAATCTGATTGCAAAACTCGTCCGCCATATTGGATCCGTCATCTTGACTACCTAATTTGACGAAAGAATAATAATATCCGACACCAACCCCCACATACAAATTTTGAATTTTGAAAAAATAGCTTACGACCGAGGCACAAAAGTCTTTATACGAATCGATCCAGTCGTTTCGGAGGAGTTTGTTCCCTAACACCGTGACAAGGATATGAGAATTCAATACAAATAGATTTAAAAATGTTTCATTCGCTTGAACTGCTTGTTGGTACCTATGAATGATTTGAGTAGATCCAACTCGAAGGACCAATAAATTTGATGCTTGATAGATAGTGGACTATACAGTAGCGTACGCCACATATCGGAGTTCTTGAACGCTATCAAAGCGGCCTGTTTACTTTGTTTCCATTAGTTCACATTTGTTTTTTATTTGTGCTTATTGGTAACATCATCAAAACAAACCGCTCAGAAGTGTTCAAGCTGTTGCCGCGAGGTGGAGCGACGTTTTATTTTCCATCGCGAATTTTTATGGTTACATGAAAATGCGAATCTCTTATTCGCTTTTCAGTTCGAAAGCGAGAAGTAGAGCTTCTTCCTCGAGCAGCAGCAGTTCCAAATCGAAGTCCAGATCGGTGTCCAGATCGAGGTCAAGGTCGAGGTCTCGCAGCAGGTCCAGTTCCAGCAGTTCCTCTTCGAGCTCCTCCGGTACGTCGCGTTCGAGGTCGCTGTCTATTCCAAGGCGGCATGGGTCGCCCAGTTTCTTGGACAGAAGGAGGATCACGAGGTGAGTAGGAGGAAGAGTACATTATGTTTGCCGGTTTTGGTTCGTAAGAGAGATTTTTACGTGATGGGGCGTTACCACCGATAAAACAAGGCCTGTATGCTCCGTGGGTGACGTCACTTAGTCAGGCCTAACCAGCTGCTCGAAACGACAAGCGCTTATAGCGCTATAAGGCGACCGCGTATTTCGATTTTAGTTTTAGATCATTATTGAGCCGATTTTGCTTTTTTCTTGAAGGGCTTCCGGTTGAAAGAGGATGCCAGCCGTCAACTGAGCCCTTCTTCGCATCCCATTCGATTTTATTATGGAAAAACGAAGTTTCAAAGCAAAAACCAGAATAAAACACAAATACCCACCTACAGCAACCCATTCGAATTAAATATATTGGCAAAAATTGTAGTGATTCAATCTCATTAGAGGTAAACTTCACACCTACTTATACAGGGCCCGCAGAACATAAACTTATCATGAGATTGATCGAAAGAAAATTGGGGAAAATGTATTTTAGTTTGATAGACATGCCGTTTGTTATACCTAATTACCTATATTTATCTTGGAGAATTCCTATTACCTAAAAAATTAGCCAGTGAGTGTTTTCAATTTCCTGTTGTTGGTTTTTTTACCCAATTGGTCGTTAGACTTGAAACAGTAATTTTCAAGTAGAGTGTTTGTAGTACATGTTAATATAATAGTTGCAATTTTTGCAAGTTTCTTTTTCTGATTATCAAGACATTTTCCCGAATTATGTATCTCGTTTTTATCTATTTCAATTAGTAATTCCTTGATTTGATTGATATTATTAGAGATGAAAGGTGTTTTCAGATTGGCTTTCAGAGATGTTTGTATCGCAAGTCATACAAAAATGATTCCACATTCAAAACAAAATCAATCACAACCGAATATGTAATTACGGGCCCTGGAGAATAAGACAATTTGAATAATGTGACTTTTTGCAAATCGATAATTTTGAACCACTTTTCGGGCAACTGAAAAGACTCTAATACAACTAGAAATTCTTGAAATTCTGTGTAGCAAAATGATTTTTGGTAATTTTCGAATTCAGTTTTACTTTTGGTAAGTGCTTGTGCCAAATTTTTAGTCTCTAGTATCTCAAGGTTTTCATCACGACTTGTGCGTAATTTTACATCTTTCGATAAATAAGATGGACAGTTGGGAAATTGAGTGGGAATAACATCTCGTTTGAGCCTAGGAATTTCCAAATCTATTGTTACAGTTTTGCCAGTTTTTGAATCGGTTGCAGTAGATGAAGTAATAATATCATCTTTAGTAAAATGTAATTCACATACTTTACTGTACTTAGATGGAGTCGTAAAATCCTTGCGGTGAATTGCATGTACCCACTTTTTCGATAGTTCCTTGTCCAACGGGAAACTAAAAGCATGAACTTTTGGACCACCCACATAATTCCCCCGACAAAAGGGAACACAACACTTGTAAGGCATTGTTATTTCGCCTATCACAACACGAAATATTTCACAAAACAGTAATTTCTCCGCCAATTATTTTGATGAATAAACAACAAGAGAATTCAAGCACTGTTCTTTCTTAAACAAAAACAAACTGACGATCGATCGACGCGAATGCCTTGGAAGATGGCCTGAGTATGCGACGTCACGAGCTGTTTACGTCAGAGTCTGCTGGCCTTGTTTTATCGGTGGTAACGGATGGGGCCACTATGTTTTTTGTAAGTTTCGAGTTTTGAGCTGAAAGCGGACTGCTAATCGCCTGGAAACATGCCAACATTAAACAAAGTAGCTCTCTGGGTTGAATATCTTTATTAATTCATCATTATTTACTTACATTTAAAAAGTGTTACTTCTCATTAGAGGAAATCCTGGAATAATGGTGATTTCTCAGGTTAGTAGTGGAAAAAATATATTCTATCTACAACTATGGAGTAATTCATACATTGCTATCTCGATTTTTAACATTTAATGACAGACATTATATTGATGAATCGAGTAATAAGAGTTATAATGACAGTAGGATGGCGTAATAATCTGACATCCCATCGTCTTGTCAAATTCAACTAGGTAGGTATTCTTTCTACTATAGTTCTACTAAAGCACACCACTATACTACTTTTTATGAAATACATGCAAATTCAAAAGACTCACCTGACATGGTTCTCATAGTTTTAATCACCTCAATGGGGAAGAACACTGAGGGAAGAAATCCGTGCAAACCTCTTTCAATCAACGAATCATGATTTACCTTTTATGTACAATCAATATTATGAATTGAAGTTGAAGGGAATCGAATCTATATCGTTTTGAAATCAGCATATTTCATTCGCTATTTGAAACAGCCAAATATGATGGTGGAGTCGTGACGTATTAGTCCCGAACTGTAGCTATCTCTCTCTGATACCTCGTCATTCTGCAGTGTTGCAGTGTAATTGGTCAGTTCAAGGACAATAGGCGTGTTGGGACTAAGACGTCGCACTAGTCACACCAATGAATTGATGAAATTTCAAATGGCGCAGGAATTGTGTGTTCTGAAATGGACATATACTAATTTATTTTTTTCATCGTCTTAGCATGAATGAAAAAATTCAAAATCAATTCACTGGTAGTTTTCCAGTATAGGGGTTCACGATAATGTCGTTTTAAAAAATCAGTGGTCTTCCCAATTCTACAAATACACGGAAAAATGAGAATTCACTGTTTTTCATTCTCAACAGTGACTACCATCATGAGTAACCATAACCATAAATAGGACTTGACACTTGACAGTTGCAGATTGGCTTACACTTATGTGCGGACTATTCGAATGGACTAGTACAGACCAATCAGAACCATGGAATTTCATTTTTGGTAACTAGCGTCTAGAGACAGGGTACTATGATTAATCATCGCGGTGGGGGAATGCTACAGCGGAAGCAAGTTGATGAATAATCTGCAATGGTATGATTCATTTTACAACTGAATAGTGAAATGGCATAATTATAATACCTAGTGAGATTGACTGATAGGTGATTGCACGACTTTTTTCCTGTTAATAAAAGTTAGATCCAACATTGTTTATCATATTTTCACAATCAAAATCATTGAAATAAGTTATAAGCTGTTCGTTGATTGAAATTTCTGTCAATGAGTTTTTGATGAAATTAATGAGTATTTCAAATCAGATTCAGTGATTTTGCAATATAATAACCGTCATTATTTCCAAAGATATATTTCTGAACTCTCAGAATTGCTTTGATATTTGAATAGTTGTAGATAAAATATAGTATGCTACTCGCACATAATGACTATTACCCACTCGGATCATTAGAGCACTCTCCTTCGGCTGTACTTTCATCTTCGTGGGTAATATCCATCATTATGCGCTCGTTGAATAATATACTATTATACCAGCATCAGCTATTACTCCATTATTTTCAAATCAAAATATTTCGAAAATGGTACCCAGTATTGAGTTGTATCAAGAGTACTATTCTTGTGTAAAATTGAATGATGTTTAAGTTCACATCGGATTCGGATTGTAAAATCTAACCTCAAAAAAGTAATGTTTAATTAAAACTACTCGGTACGAACCGTGTAACTAGCGTCCTCTATGAGAGTCAGATATAAAAACAAATTCACGCAGTGTGACACCTTGTATCTTGAAAACGGATGCCGTTACGAAATTTTTTAACTGAAGAAATCCAACTTATTTTGCTGTGTTCTATATACCCTAGCAAGGGGGTCATGTTTTTTTAAACACACTGTATCTCTCAGCAGGAATTTTGAAATCTCTTGAGCAATGGTACTAAAGAATATGAGCACTGAGGACATTGGAATGAAAATCTCAAAATATAGAATCGAAATCACTTCAGGGACGTACTCAATTTTGTTTTTTCAAAGGGATCAATAACATAAGAAGGAATGTTGTAAAATTGAAGAGACGTGCAGGGTACCCATTTATTTTTTCTGAGTAGATCGAATATTAAAAATATCTGAAAAATTGAAGATATTTGAAAATCTAAGGCAGCAGATTCGTAATATCTTGGACATGATACTATAATGATCGAAAAAACGAAACCCTTGTTCGGGGGCATATCTTTTTTTGGGAGGGGTCGAGAATTTTTTTTTGACAAATACCCAGCAAGAAGCATAATTGCTATTTCAGGGACTTGCCCATTTTTTTATCTGTAAGTTATAATTATTTCAAAATTTCTGGAACATACATGATTGACATAGAAGTCGCAACTCCATGGGCATTCTTTGACAGGATTCTTAAGCGGAAATTCAAAAATTAATTTCACGTACCTACTTCAATCCAGGTTCAAAAATAAAAATTATTGTAACTTTATATATTGAAGGATAGTTGACATATTATGTCTCACGTAAAAATCTCTCATAAATAATGAGCACTTTTTCGTTCGTTTTATGTTTATTTGCTTTCTTTTATTTCAGACACAGGTAGTTTTGGAGATTATATCGTGGATTTGAACTGTTCATACTGTATTTATTGTTGTGTATTATGCTACTATTTAGACTGTAAGAGCGTTAAACTCTTTTTTTTTTTCATCCAAAAGTAGTTTGTATAGAATAAATCCGTTGTTCACGTACGTTTTCGTTTTATTTTGTTTATCGTTTCATAGCGTAGCACCAAAGGTAAGTTGCATGATGGATGTTTGCCTTTTTTTGGTGGCCTGCTCTTGTTTTCCCACTAACCCACTGACTCACTAACATTACTAACAGCGCAAGAAAGCGGCCCATACCCTATACTAGAGCGTCCCCATCCTCCGCTTCTTCGGCAAGCAGTTACGACAGCAGGAGCCCTTTCTACTCGAGACATCGGTCTGTCAGCCCTTCTCTCAGCAGACGGTCCTCGAGGTCCCTTTCTGGGTCCCCTGTGGGGACCGTGAAGTCGCCCTAGCGGTTGATCGATTGCCTCGATGAGGTTATCAAAAGGGTGCAATAATCGAATTCTCTTGTTGGATACTGTTTGTAGGTTAATCGAGGCGGTGGATAGGTGTTTTTGGATGTATGA